CAACAACCGGGAGGATATGAGTGAAAAATCTGATTAGTGTAGAAGAGAACGAGGTAAAAAGTGAAAGGTAGTGAGTAGGATGACAAATATCCATAATCGGATAATCAAATGGTAGCCTGGGAGAGTCGCTGAATTTAGGGATGAAGTCAGGTGAACTCTGTCAGTCAGATAAATCATTTTAGAAATGACCAGATTATCTCACACAAGCCACATGTTCCATTATATGTATTTCTTTCTACTGTCCGTAGACTTATTACATTCGCATTCTAATTTGGAAAGCTTTGTAAAAAAGAACAAAAAGATGCCCATTTGCAGTGACACTTATTCAGCAATTCTGCCAACCAACAGGGATGTCAGCTACAAAAATGATCCAGATATGTGATGTCATAGGTTACTAGCGAATATTTTAATCACCCAAACTATTTAAAGTCGTAACAGCGGCTGATAAAGAGTTTAAAAGGAAATCTTTTTGGACTTTTATAATATAAAATAGACAACAGCTATCAGTTATTTTAGCATATGATTAATCTAGTGATTTTTTTTTAAAACGATCTAAAAATATATACTCTTACTAAGCTAAAGACTATAAAATAAACAATAAATATGTGTTTAAAGCAAAAAAAAAGCAACATAAATTGGACAGTTCAAATGCATTGCAAAAAAAAAAAACAAAAACTGAGATCAATGCTCAGAAATGTGGTTCATATCCACAAAGAAGGGTTTCTACATTTTAATGCAATAAGTTTACATTTTCTGTACAGCTCAGGGTTAATTAGTATTCTGAGTTTTTTGTTTTTTGAAATTTGTATGTCTTATAGTCTCTATACTCCAGTTAATGAATATTCCTATTACTAAATTAGGTGAAAAGTAGTCTCTTTTCCTTGAGATAGGTGAATACAGCCAATTTTTTTTATAATATTTTGTGGTACTATTTTGATAATGATAAAAGTGATCATAAATAAAGAAAATAAATAACTTTTTTGCTGTGTTTTGATTTTGCTAAAAATCAAATTGTAAAACCCAGCAATCTCAACTCCACAATCACAAACAGTACTGTGAAAAAATCTAAAAAAAACAAATAGTCTCCTTCAGGACACTAGTTACATCAATAAAACTGACTTTTACAGCTTAAGTACACACTGTAACTGCATTTTATCAGCTTGTTTTGTTTTATAAACTTGATAGTGGACAGAAAGTTAAAAAGGTAAAAGCATTACTAATCTGACTTTATTGTTGTGACCATAAATCAAAATTCTTATGACAACAAACATATGACGATAAACTATATGATAAATGCTTTCCCCCACTTCAGCCCTGTGGAAAAGGAAACTAGCAATAAAAAAGTAGTAAGCTCTAAGTCAAGATCTAAGATTGCTGAGAGCCCAACCAGACAGCACTACTACCCATTTATTATGTCATCATCTATATTAAAGGTATAGGAAAGGATTTTCCACTCTAAAAAAAAAATGCACATGCACAACCCTGAGCCCGAGGGCACGCCTATTAAACGTGTGCAAGAGCATGCACAAGCCCATTTCTCCTTGCGCACACTCCGCCTTAAAAATGCGGTTTTAAACGGTAACAAGCTCACTAGTGGCTCGTTTTGTGGACAGTAGGCTGACAGGAAAGGGGGAATGAGGGATTCGGACTCGGGTCGGCCATGTCAAGGACTAAGGCCTTCAATACACAGTGATCCATGCAGTTATTTGCTGCATCCATTAAAAAGTTTGTACTAGTTTGCAAAACAAAATTGCTCAAACTTTAGATTTAAAAGAGATTTGGATTCTTCCATAAACCAAACCTCTACTAAATAAACAAGATTTTCTTCAAAACATTATATATCAGCATCTGTGTTTTCTAACCCATCAGTCTCTGCAGAAGTCAGATAGCGTTTCTACTTTTACTATGGAACAAATTCCTCATAACTCTGCCCTGTCTACCTGTTACATATTCTGCTAATTCTGTCTATTGTTAAATGACATTATTATAATCTATAAAGAAAAAAACACAGACGCAATAAGATTTTTTGTTTAACTAGAATCAAACCAGTTATCTAAGTATCTTGGGGTCCTGTTGACGAGTGAGGGAAGAATGGAGTGAGGGAAGAATGGAGCGGGAGATCGATAGACGGATCGGTGCGGCTGCTGCAATAATGCGGACCCTGCATCGCTCTGTCGTGGTGAAGAGAGAGCTGAGTGAAAAGGTAAAGCTCTCAATTTACCAGTCGGTCTACGTTCCTACCCTCACCTATGGTCATAAAATCTGGATCATGACCGAAAGAACGAGATCCCGGAATCAAGCTGCTGAAATGAGCTTTCTCCACAGGGATCTCGTTCTTTCGGTCATGATCCAGATTTTATGACCATAGG